CGCATGGGGCAAACCAAAAATATTAAAAACTGATAATGGACCAGCCTATATAGGCAAAGCCTTCAATGAGTTCTGCAAAATGATGGAGGTTCAATTAAAACATGGTATCCCATACAATCCCCAAGGTCAAGGAATCATTGAGAGGGCTCATAGAAGCCTCAAAGAAATTTTACAAAAACAAAAAGGGGGAGTAGGCCAAGGCCTGGCCCCAAAGGCACGATTATCCATGGCACTATTCACACACAATTTTTTAAATTTAAATAATGATAATTGCTCCCCAGCCGTGGAGCACTGCAACCCTTCCCCCAACCATAAAGGGTGGGTGAAGTGGAAAGATGTCCTGACAGGACAATGGATGGGCCCGGATCCAGTGGTCAGCTGGAACCGAGGCGCGGTTTGTGTTTTCCCACAGGAATCGGGACGAGAACCACTGTGGGTACTGGAGAGACTGACACGGGCGACAAAGCCCTCGACTGAAGATCAGACCTGCCCTACCGGAGATCCATCACAGACCAACCAACAAGATGAATAGAAATAGCGGTAGCCCGAAATGGACAAGAAGATCCTCAGGCATATGCATGGCTCGCTCGCCTAGCCTACGACCGAGTCTAGGGGTGGTGAGCTTCCCACACTCCTCCTCTAAAAAATTGACATAGCTAGGTAGGAGAGTCAATGACGGGTAAGAGCGTACTCCCCCGGTGCGACTCAACCTAAGCCAGGCCCTACCCCATCCTGCACGTAAGCCGCTGGACTGTTAGATGCTGCCCAGGTCTAAATTTCTCTCCGAGGGGATTTCTTTACGGAGAGGAAATGAGTGCAAGCTTGTGTGCATCCAGGTTCCGTCCAGTTTGTGCCTGGCCCTAGAAAAAGGACGAGGGCCTCAGGGCCTTGGCAGACCATGGGACGGCCGACCAGGGTCTAAGCCAAGGACCTACGGTGGGCCTACGCATAGGGCATAAGCCTCTGCACCCAGTCCAGAAAGGGCTACGATGCGCACATTCATAAAAAATAAAAAAGGGGGAGATGTTGGGAGCCGCAGCCCCGAGCCCGGTCGCCTCACTTGGCGGACGTGAGGCCTGTAGTAAAGAGTAAAGCCTGAGGTAGATTACCCCTCCCATCGAGCACGTTAGTTTCCTGCTTACCGCGTAAGCAACCCGCTCAACAATATAGTCTGCCTGGCAACTGATGATGTTAGCCAATCAGCTTGCCTTGCTCACTTTAACATGATTGGACACTGTATCCGTATATATACTGGTGCCACCCCTGGGGGGGAAGAAGAAGCCCGGAAGTAGAAGCCCAGAAGGAGCCGCGGGGAGCGGACCAAAGGAGGCTTCGGCTGGGAGCGATCCCAGGGCAGGCTGTACGGAGAAGAAAAATAAAAGAAAAGGTTGTCCACTGCCAGACTTTGTCGTGTGTCCTTCCTGCCGGCCGGGAGCGGACATCGACAATCCAGATTATACACCATGATCAAGTAGGATACATCCCAGGGATGCAGGATGTTTGAATATATGCAAGTCAATAAATGCACTCTATTAACAGAACCATAGACAAAAAGTATATGATCATCTGAATAGATGCAGAAAAATGTTTGACAAAGTTTAGTATCCATTCATGATAAAAACTCTACAGAAAATTAGAATAGATGGTCTTTATCTTGATCTGATAAAAACCACCTATGACACATCGACAGCCAATATCACACTAAATGGACAAAAACTGAAAACTTTCACTCAAATCAGGAACAAGGATGTCACCACTTTTATTCAATACAGTTCTGGAAACATTAGCCAGAGCAATTAGACAAGAGAGAGATAAAAGAAATAAAGATAGGAAAGAAAAAGCTAAATTATCATTATTTACAGATAACACGACACTCTATAAAGACCCCCAAAAACTCCACCAAAAGATTTCTACATTTAATAACCAAATTCAGTAGCAGAGCTGGATACAAAGTCAACGCTCAAAAATCAATAGCCTTTACATACAAAAGTAACAAACTCACTGAGAGAGAAGCTAGGAAAACAGTACCTTTCACAACAGCATCCAAAAATATGAAATACCTAGGAATCAACCTAATGAAGTAAAAGACCTTTACATTGAAAACTACACTATTCTGAAAAAGGAAATTGAAGAAGATATTAGAAAATGGAAAGATACCCCTTGTTCTTGGGTAGGAAGAATCAATATAGTGAAAATAGCCATACTTCCAAAATTGATATACAGATTTACTGCAATTCCAATCAAAACACCAATAGCATATCTCACAGAAGTAGAAGAGACCTCATATAGCAAAGCAATTCTCAGCAACAAAGGCAAGGCAGGAGGCATCACAATGCCTGACCTGAAAAGAAAAGTCAGGGACTGTGACACTGTATCACAAAGTTACTGTGATACAAAATAGCAGTGCTGGCAAAAACAAATAAACAAAAAAACACTACAGACCCAATCATCAATGAAACAGCTTAGAAGATACAGAAACAACTCCAAACCCACTTAGCCATCTTATTTTTTTTTTTAGCCACCATATTTTTGACAAAGCAGCCAAACACCTTCTCTAAAGACAAGACAGCCTCTTTAATAAATGGCGCTTAAACACAAATAGCTTTCCACATGCTGAAAATTAAAACTAGATCCAGATCTTTTCCCATGCACTAAACTACATTGAAATGGATTAAAGATCTAAATATTAAAACAGAAATATTAAATTTTCTGGAAGACAGAATAGAGAACTCTTGAAGACACTGGTGTCGGTAGACCTTATGAACAAAACCCCATCATATAGGAAATATTGTAAAGAATCAATAGGTGGGATCTCATCTTATTAAAAAGCTTTTGTACAGCAAAAGAAATCACAGATACAACCCACAGTGTGGGAAACATTTTTTGCCAGCTGTTCCTCAGACAAAGGACTAATATCTAGAATATATAAAGAACTCAAAAAGATTAGACTCCTGCCCAAATTTAAATTTAAATTTGCCCAGTCCAAAAATAGGCATCTGAAATGAATAGACACTTCTCAGATAAATAAGTAAAAATGACAAATAAATATATGAAAAAATGTTCAACATCATGGGTCATTTGAGAGACACAAAGTAAAACAATGCTGACATTCCATTTCACTCCAGAAAGAAAGGTGATTATTAAGAAATCAAACAGTGACAAATGATGTAGGGCTGAGGAATAAAGGAACCCACATCTCCACTGTTGTAGGCTGGTGCAAACACTGTGGAAAGCAGAGTGGAGATTCCTCAGGAAACTAAAACTAGAACAATTCCCCTTCTAGTTTGTTTTTGAGACAGGGTCTCACTCTGTAGTTCAGACTGGCCTTGAACTCACTATGTATCCCAGGTCAGACTTAACTCCCAGCAAGCCCTCTGCCTCAGGCTGAGTGCTGGGCTTACAGGTATGCATCACCATACCTGGCTTATTCCTGAAATAATTAAAGACATCATACCACACCGATATATGCACACTTGTGTTTACAGCAGCACAGTTTATAATAGCTACATCTTGGAAATAGTTCAAATCAACTGATGAATGGATAAAGAAACTGTGGGTTCTTTTTTTTAACATAGTGGAGTACTTCTCTGACATAAAGAAGCTTGAAACATTTCTAGTTAAGTAAATGCACCTTCAGACCATACTTTTTTTTTTTTTGTACCAGGGATTGAACTAACGACCTGGCTCTTGCCTGCCAAATCTCCTACCCAATACTCTTAAGTGAAATAAACAGGACACACATGTTTAAATACTGCATCACTTCTCTGATGTGAGAAACTTAAAAGTGTAAATAAGGACTAAAATATATAATAGATATTGGGAATTGAGAAGAAAATGTTCAAATGAGAAGGGCAACAAGGGAGGAGGAGACAGGGAAATGAAAGATGGGAGAAGGAATAAAAGGAGAATAGAAGGAAAAATGGAAACAAAGCTTTTGTAAATAAGGAGGGGAAGAGGAGTTGAAGGGTTGGGAGGGGAATGGGAAAGAAAAAAAAACGAAGGAGCAAAATATATCATGTAGCCTGTCTCAAAAACAAAAACAAAACAAAGAGATGTAATATGTTCAGGCACAAATGCCCTAGGATGAATTGAACATTGTGTATACCCAAAATGTACCAAAAAAAAAAAAAAATTCCATAACCCAGGAAGTTCTACTGGACAACACTCTTCACCACCACAGAAACCAGAACGGGCTTTCTAAAAGATAAATGTGCCGCGGTCATTGCCCAGCACTAAAACCCTTTAGTTGTTCTTTCCTCTCTCCAAATTCAGACTCTCGGCAGTGTACACGTAATGCCTTTCAAAACCTAATCTCTAGCCGGGGCCCACTCCCGTAATCCCAGCACTCGGAAGGGTACAGTGAGGCAGGAGAAACGCTGAGTTCAAGTCCAATTTGGGATACACACAGTGAGCTGAAGGTCGGCCTGAACTGCATAGCAAGACTGTCTCAAAAACAAACAAACAAACCCTAACCTCTTCCCATGCTGGAGGCTTCTCTCACTATTTTCTCTGAGAGCTTCAAACTATGGACACGGCTTCCTGAGACTTGCTTACCTGCCTTTCCTCCTACGGTATTTGCCGCTGGGAAGAAATCTGTGCGCACTTCCACTGAGCAAAACAGTAACTCGATTTTCAAGCCTCAATTCTAGCATTATTTCCTTGCCATCCTTCCCAGTCCTCTCTTTCCTAGAAAAATGGCTGGGTGCCATTCCTCCCTGCTCTCGCCACGTATCATTCTGAAATCAATGATAAGCCTAGGTGTCTTCCCCCTCCCAGAAAGCCAGTTCTTGGATAACAGGTACAGTATCTTTCTCCTTTCCATCTCCAGCACCGGCTTATAGCAAGCATCAATAAAACGTGAGTGAATGGCTCGGGGTGCAGCCCCAACACCAGGAACCGACGGCCACGGAACATATTTGAGACGAATAACGGTCAGGAAGTCCGAGGCCAGGTGTGGCTCTAGCAAGCGAAAGGGGCGAAACCCGAGCGGGCTCACATACCAGACGTTTTCTTCTCCACCATTTGGGCAACACAGGTGCCGGAAGAGCTCTGTGCACACGCGCAGTAAACCAAAGGCGTGCATAGCGACAGGATCACTTCCGGTGCATGTGTTTCTACGCGTGCGCAAAAATGATCTACTTCGTGGCGTCACTACGTGGTGTTTCCTTGGAGACCAGCAAGCTTTCCGCCATGTTTTTTAGGGGCAAAACGACTTCCGCCCTCAGCATAATTGGGCAAATTTGTGAGAGTCCAGAAATGGGTCATTTTAAAGAAGTAGTGCCACTAGTCTTTGGAGACACAGTATTTTCCCAGGGTTCTTCTGAAGGTGACATTGTCTCAAGTACAATTCTTGGAGCTTCTTCCAGGACAGCAGATTGCCTAAGAAAGTGGGCAAGCTCGGAGTGGGCGGCAACCCGAGATGTCTCTCGAGGTGGCCTTCTGCGGAAAATTCAGACCCAGTTCTCCGGGCAGTAATCCCTCCGAGGGTTCCCCTGCTTCCTCCCTCCCCACAGTCCCGCTCTCCCCCTCTTCCGCCCTGTTGGGGAACAGGGCTGTGGCCAGGACCCGCCCCGCGTCTCGCTCGACCCTCCCGTGGGGTCACTTCCCCTCTCAGGGTTTCGCTTTTCTCGCTGTCATGCGGGCAGTGGGCCCAGCAGGCTCCAATCGCTGCCCCAGCTCCTCCTCGTCCCGCAGCCCGACGCCCCCTCTGCCCGCCCGGCGCAGCCTTGGCGCGCGAGCCAGGGACAATCCTCGCCTTGTCTTGTCGCCTGCAGTCTGGAGTTTTCTGAAGCCTCGGGTTACGCCTTTTTTTTTCCAGGGCGGAGCTCCTGTCCAGCTCCTCCTAATAGCTGGTCTTTCTGCCGCCCGGGCTCCCTCTTCCCAGAACCTTCTTCAGAGCTGGGATCCAGGGGCACAGCCCAGCCTGGCGCGGACCCGTGGGTTGCCCTGGCTTGCCCCTTACCATGGCCTTTGGAGCCTGGCTTCTGCTCTTACCCCTGCTCCTGCTTCCTCCGCCTCCGGGTGCCTGTGCTTCTGACCAACCCCGAGGCAGCAACCCTGTCAATCCAGGTGAGAATCCGAGCCCCCTGTTCTAGAGTCTGCCAGCTCAGCTCTTCGGGGGTCCAGGCGCTCCTGCTCTCCTCGGCAAGGCGCGCTTCTTGGACCGAACCAAGTAGCCCCTCACCCTGAGCTGGGTTCCACCTTCCCCAAAGAAAATTGATCCTGAATTCGTATGTACCGCTCCTTCCCACCCCTCAGTGAGGTGGAATGTCTCTGGGCCAGAAAAGTTTAAGGGAGATTTGGAAAGAAGGGGAAGAGGACTGTGGTGGACTTATTGGGGAGCTCAGGGCCCTCTGGGAGAGTGAAGCTTGTGAAGCACGGGGTAGTGCGTGAATCTCAAGTGCCAATTCCTGGCTGGTGACAGAGAAACTGCTGGTGATCACCGTGGCCACCGCGGAGACAGAGGGGTACCGCAGGTTTCTGCAGTCTGCAGAATTCTTCAACTACACTGTGCGGGTAAGGAGGGGTCCCTGGGTTGGGTTCCGGCAGGAATGGGCTGAAGGCTGGTGCCTGGGTCCCCAGCCTGAGTCTGATCAGTGGCACCCACGTGCATAATGGCTGAACCGCTCCTTGGCCTGGCGGGTCTCGCCTACAGACCCTGGGTCTGGGTGAGGAGTGGCGAGGTGGTGATGTGGCTCGAACAGTTGGTGGAGGCCAGAAGGTCAGGTGGCTCAAGAAGGAAATGGAGAAATATGCAGACCAGGAGGACATGATCATCATGTTTGTAGACAGGTAAAAGGGCTAGGGTGGGGAGAAAGGAGAGGGAAAAATAGGAGGAGGGAAAAGGATGCTGAGGTGCCTAGTGGCCTCCTGCCCATCCTCCCCTTCCTTGCCCAGCTATGATGTGATTCTGGCTGGCAGCCCCTCGGAGCTGCTGAAGAAATTCGTCCAGAGCGGCAGCCGCCTGCTCTTCTCTGCAGAGGGCTTCTGCTGGCCTGACTGGGGGCTGGCAGAGCAGTACCCTGAGGTGGGCACGGGGAAGCGCTTCCTCAACTCCGGTGGTGAGTGGCAGGGTGCCTGAGGCGGAGGGGCCAAGAGTGGTGGGGTGTGGAGTGTTCCAGATACCTGCGCACTGCAGAGGTACTGGGGCTCGGTCTGTGAGACCTGCAGGAGTCTTGGGGTCAGGCCCTGTCCTACTTGCTCCCAGGGTTCATTGGCTTTGCTCCCACCATCCACCAAATCGTCCACCAGTGGAAGTACAAGGATAACGACGATGACCAACTGTTCTACACGCGACTCTACCTGGACCCTGGGGTCAGGGTAGGAAGGGGCAGAGAGTGGGCACCGACATCCCTGTGGGATGGGAAACCTTGGGCTGGTTGGGTGTGATGGCAGGAAGAGGACTTGGAAGATGTAAAGAGAACAGGGTGAGAATCCCAACACTCTGGGAGGCTGAGGCTGGAGGATCACAAGTTTGAGCCCCGTCTGGACAATATAGCAGCTTAGTGAGAGCTTGTCTCAAAATAAAAAATAAAAAAGAGCTGGGGATGTAGCTCAGTGCAAAAGGCATGGGTTCAATCCCCAATACCACAAAAAATAAAATAAAATAATGACACAAAAGGAAGAGAGAGAGAAATAATGTCTCTTTGTCTCCATCAGTTAACCACTCTATGCCATCCCATCCCATCCAGGAGAAATTCAGCCTTAATCTGGATCATAAATCCCGGATCTTCCAGAATCTCAATGGAGCTTTAGGTGAGGAGAAAGGCTGTCCAGCCATGAGCAACAAGGGGTTCTCACTACTGGGGTCATGGATTAAGGAGCTCCATGGATTGAGGTGGCTGCAGAGGCTTCTAGCTGGGCTGGTCTGCAGCTCACCTGTATTTACCTTCTTTAGACACTTGCTTAAGTTTTGCAGTACTAGCAATAACAGGCACCAGGGCAGTGAGAGGTGACCTAACATCTCCTGGGTAGATACTATGTGCCCAAGATACCAAGCCAGGGGCTTTATCTCTAAGATGTCTTTGAATGCATGATCCTCCAAGAAAGGGTCCCCTGGCTGTCCACCGTGGACAGACCCTTAGATGGGCAAGGAAGTCCACTCTCTGAGGACTGGTGACTCACTGGGTTACACAGATATCTGGCCTTTCTTCCCCAGATGAGGTGGTTTTAAAGTTTGACCAGAATCGGGTGCGCATCCGGAACGTGGCTTACGACACACTTCCAGTTGTGGTCCATGGAAACGGCCCCACTAAGGTGCCCTCAGCAGCCCCTGCCCCTGCCTGCCCCAAGCCCTGGATACCCCACACCCTCCTGAGCAGGCAGTCTCCCCAGCCCCAGGAACAGGGTTGCTGTGACAGCTTCTCCCTCACCCTGATGGCCCTCATACCAGACCCTCCCATGAGGCTGACTGCCCTCCCTCACATCTGTCCCCATACCCCTGCCACTCCCATCTCCCAACAGCTCCAGCTCAACTACCTGGGGAACTATGTCCCCAATGGCTGGACTCCCCAGGGAGGCTGCGGCTTCTGCAACCGGGACCGGAGGACACTCCCGGGGGGGCAGGTGAGGTGGGAGCCCCTGGAATGAAGACTGGAGGAGGATTTTGGGTGGCTGCAGGGCAAAGATCTGAGTACCCAGAGGTACCTCCCTGGTATTGGGGGTTTAGGGGGAGACAGAAGCCCAGGCTCCCCCTGAGCCATGTCCTGTTTTTATCCTCTAGCCTCCCCCCCGGGTGCTGCTGGCCGTGTTTGTGGAACAGCCCACCCCGTTTCTGCCCCGCTTCCTGCAGCGCCTGCTCCTCCTGGACTACCCGCCAGACAGGGTCTCACTCTTTCTGCACAACAGTGTGAGCAGCCCCCAGCCTTTTCCCTGACCCCGCCCCCGCCCCCTGCACTCCTCCCCACCACCTTCTCCCCAGCTAGGCACCTTGTCTGCCTACTCAACCTGTGTCCCACGGTCCTCTCCCCCCAGGAGGTGTACCACGAGCCTCACATAGCGGACGCCTGGCCGCAGCTACAGGACCACTTCGCCTCTGTGAAGCTATTGGGGCCAGAGGAGGCTCTGAGCCCAGGCGAGGCGAGGGACATGGCCATGTGAGGGAGCACAGTGGGAAGCGGGCAGTGGTCAGCCACCCACCCAGGGCCCTTCCCTCCTGTCACCAGCTCAGCCCCTTGGGCCTCCAAACCTGCAGCTTTGCAATCCCCTCCCTTGTCCATCTGCCACTGGCAGTGGGAACCTTAGGGAAGGAAAACATGACCCCTCTCCTCTTCCTGGGAACTGGAGAGTCCTGCCCATCCCATGGTCCCCACCCTAATCTGCACCCCATTCCAGCTCATCGGTCCATCTGTGGATCTGTCGCCTGCAGGGACATCTGTCGGCAGGACCCAGAGTGTGAATTCTACTTCAGCCTGGATGCTGACGCCGTACTCACCAACCAGCAGACACTGCGCATCCTCATCGAGCAGAACAGGTCTGGCCGGGGCACCTCCAGAGTCCCCAGGAACCCTAGTCCTCCCCCCGGCACAGGCTCCCCAAGGTCTCAGCCCCAACACCCGGCCCTCATCCCTCCCTGGCCCACAGGAAGGTGATCGCTCCCATGTTGTCACGCCATGGCAAGCTATGGTCCAACTTCTGGGGGGCCCTGAGCCCTGAGGAGTACTATGCCCGCTCGGAGGACTACGTGGAGCTGGTACAGCGGAAGCGGCTGTGAGTCCTGCCCCAGGGCAAGACCCTGTCCCAAGCCTGGGCCATGCACTCAGCCTTCTCAGGAGCCTGGGGTGATCACCATTCAGGTGGTCATGGCCAGCAGGCTTGGCAGGAGACCTGAGGGGCTTTCAGGCTTGGGGACTGGGGTACCCTAAGAGAGATAGCCTCTGGGATGACCTGGGTAGAATTTGGGCAGCCGCCATCTGGCTGACCCCCGCGCTGGTGCCTCCAGGGGTGTGTGGAATGTGCCCTACATAGCCCAGGCTTACGTGATCCGTGGGGAGACCCTGAGGACAGAGCTGTCCCAGAGGGAAGTGTTCTCGGGCAGCGACATGGACCCAGATATGGCCTTCTGCATGAATCTGCGGGACAGGGTGAGTGGGCAGACAGCCTGCGGCCCTGGTGCTTAGACACCTAAGCTAGCAGCCACCTGGTGCCACCCCCATCCTTCTCACGCACACTGCCATCCCACGCCAGGGCATCTTTCTCCACCTCAGCAATCAGCATGAATTTGGCCGCCTCCTGGCCACATCCCGGTATGACACAGACCACCTGCACCCTGACCTCTGGCAGATCTTCAACAACCCTGTCGTGAGTGAGGGCCCCTTGCTCAGGGAATGCTAAGGAGGACGTCAGTGCATGGGGGCGCCCCGGGCAGGGTGTTGGGTGGGGAAGAAGAGCGCCCCTCAGGCACCTGGCCCTCCCGCAGGACTGGAAGGAGCAGTACATTCATGAGAACTATAGCCGCGCCTTGCACGGGGAAGGCCTTGTGGAGCAGGTGAGCCCCTCTGACCTTATCCCTGATGCCAGCGTCTCTTGGTCCTCGCCTGGAGTAGCGGTTTTCACACTGAGTTCCCAGGTACCCAACAGGGCAACAGAGGCTGTGCAGATGACTCTGGCCCCAGGTCAGACACCAGACACACTGCCTCCTCTTCTGTCTGTGTGTTCAGTTGCTCTTCAGCTTCCAGTGGGGCTGGGTCCTAACAAACCTCTCCCAACATCCAGAGTCAGGAGTCAGGGACCGTCTGTGTTGATGCCATGGGTGAAATTACATCTAAGCCAGGCATGGGAAGCAGAGGCAGGAAGGCTACAAGCTGGACCCAGCCTGGGCAGTTCAGTGACTTAGCAAGACCCTGCCCCAGAATTAAAAATAAAAAGGGCTGGGGGTGTTGCGAAGGAAGGCTCTGGGTTTAGTCCCCAGTAGCATCCAAAAACAAATTACATCTCTAAAGAGGGACACACAGGCTGGGCATAGTAACACATGCTTGTAATCCCAGTGCCCTAGGAGGCTAAGGCAGAAGGATTGCAAGTTTGAGGCCAGATTGGACAACTTAAAGAAATCTCATGTCAAAATAAAGGAGAGGAAATGTAATTTAATTCAGTGGTAAAGCGCCCCTGGATTCAATCCCCAGTGCTGCCAAAAAGAAGCAAAAAAAGGATGCATTATTAGAAAGGAGGCTGGAAACCACCGTCCATTGCCAGGAACGGTACCACACTCCTGTAATCCAAGCGTGCAGGAGGTGGAGGCCGAGGGCTGTCATGATTTTGAGGCCTGCCTGGGCTACACAGCGAGGCCCTGTCTCAAAAAAAAAGAACAAAAGCAAACCACTGTCTGTGTTCCATGCTGGGGCCCCAAGCTTCTCCTTCCCCCCGTATGTGGTGCAGAGGGTCTCCGCCTGCGCCCACCCCCGTGTCTGGCCCCCCAGCCAGGCCTGGCCCTTCCCAGCCCTGGCCGCCCTTCTCCCAGCTCATCTCATCCCCAGCCCCTCTCCATGCCTCCCTGCTTTTTCTTAATTCCGGCCTCCCCCACCCACTCCTGCCAGCCCCTTCACAGCTCTGTCCTCCTCCCCAGCCGTGTCCAGATGTGTACTGGTTCCCGCTGCTGTCGGAGCAGATGTGCGATGAGCTGGTGGAGGAAATGGAGAACTACGGCCAGTGGTCAGGGGGCCGGCACGAGGTAAGGGGCGCAAAGGGAGGGAGTGTGGGGTTGGGGTTGTGAGAGTATGAGGGGGACTGGGAGTGGGAGGAAGCCCCGGCAGGTGCTGTTGCATTCATTCTGTGATTCAGACAGCAGTTACTGTGCCACCGGTCTAGATTGTGTAGACAGAGCAGAGCCAGGATGGGGACCAGAGGCTTCACAGGAGAGATGAGGTTTTAGCTGAGATATGAAGGGCCAAGAGCAGGGAGTCAGGCTGAGAAGCAGAAAGAAGACTACTGGTGGCACACGCCTGTCATCCCAACACTGAAGGCTGAGGCAGGAGGACTGAAGGTTAGTGACCTAGTGAGATCCTGCCTGTGAAGGCAGGCCTGGGTTCAATCCTCAGTACTGCCAACAGCCACCACCAAAAAAAAGAGAGAATACTGCTCCAGACAGAGGGAACCCAGATGTGAAGGCCCAGAGACAAGAGGAGGCAGGTGGCTGGCCCTGCCCCAGGCAGGAGGTGGCTCAGTGACTGCTGCCCACAGGACTCCCGGCTGGCCGGGGGCTACGAGAACGTGCCCACTGTGGACATCCACATGAAGCAGGTGGGCTATGAGGACCAGTGGCTGCAGCTGCTGAGGACCTACGTGGGGCCCATGACCGAACACCTGTTCCCTGGCTACCACACCAAGGTGGGTCTGCACCCCAGTCCCACGTGGGAGTTGTCGCACGGACCCCTCCCAGCCATAAGGGCATTGGGGGGCCCCTTGGAGCTGGTCCTGGGCATGAGACAGGGCAGGAGGGCGGGGGGAGGCGGCTGCCATGCCGAGCCCCTTGCTGCTCTGGCAGTGAGGGCCTTCGTTCCCCTGCACAGGGGCCGTCATCCCGTGCCAAGGCCCCCAGGCCCCCAGCCCACCCTCCCTGCAGCCCCCGTTTTGTCCCCCAGACCAGGGCAGTGATGAACTTTGTGGTCCGCTACCGGCCGGATGAACAGCCCTCTCTGCGACCGCATCACGACTCATCCACCTTCACCCTCAACGTGGCACTCAACCACAAGGGCCTGGATTATGAGGTGAGCCGCTCCTGCTCAGGGGTGCCGCCAGCCCCTCACTCCTCCCTTTTCACCTGGGGACTTTCCCCCAGTAATGCATGCCTGGCTGCCTCCTTGGCCCAGGCCACCCTTTTCCCCATTTCCCAGTTATTTTGGGGTATCTGCTTCCTTTTGGATGGGGTCCTCCTCTTCCTCCTGTGTCCCCCTATCTGCGATACCCCAAAACCTCCCCTCTGGCCTGTCCCGCCTGACCCCAACCTGGCAGCTCCTCTCCTGTGTCTGCCTGCACCCCATGCCCGTGTGCTCAGCCCTCCCCTTCTCCTCGTCCCCCAGGGAGGCGGCTGCCGCTTCCTACGCTACGACTGCATCATCTCATCTCCCAGGAAGGGCTGGGCACTGCTGCACCCCGGCCGCCTCACCCACTACCACGAGGGGCTGCCCACGACCTGGGGGACTCGCTATATCATGGTGTCCTTTGTGGACCCCTGATACTCAACCACTGCCAGACCCTCACTGCCGTTGTGCCTTCTTGGGAGGCCTGGCCCCCACTGTTGGAGACGGGTCTCTGCCCACATCCTTGCCTCCTGAGTAAGTCCCATTTGCCCAGGACTGAATGTGTCACCTTGCCAAACCATAACCTCTCAGGAAGCTGGAGGAGCCCCTGCCCTTCCTTCAGCCCCCAGGGGTTCTTGATGCTGGGCTTCTGGGGGTTCCCCATGATAAATTATTAAGGTCCTCAACCTCCGTCTAGTAAAAGAAGATTTGTAACTCGAGTCCCTGTGTCATCTTTGACCTGCCAGTAACTCAGTCACGCCCCTGCCACCCAGATGACCTCAGAGAGAAGGAAAGTGGGGGGCGGCTGATCAGCAGCTTCCCAGTCCCATCTCCTTGCTCTCCTTTCCTTCCTGAGCTGGAAGGATGTGTGACAAGGACCTTTTTATAGTATATGTGCTGCTGAAGGAAGCACTCGACAAGGCTGAGGGAGAGAGGTCATGGGCCAGGTGCAGATGCAGCCCTCTCCCTGGCCCACACCACATCCAGCCGTGTGCTTTCCCTAGGGAAGGGGACATAGTCCTGAGCAAAGCTCCCAGGACAGTGCCGGGGAAGGAAGCCCCCTGAAAGCCTGTGCTGAGACCTAAGTATCACTTGGGCAGAATCAGATCCAGAAAGGGGACTCTAGCTGGACATGGTGGTGCAGGTCTATAATTTCAGCACTTAGGAGGCTGAGGCAGGAGGGTTACTGAGTTTCAGACCAGCTGGGCTACATAGTGATTTCTTTTCTTTTCTTTTTTTTTTTTTTTTTTTTTTTTTTTTTTTTTTTTTGAGACAGAGTCTCGCTATGCAGTTCAGGCTGGCCTTAAGTTCACTTTGTAGCCCAGGCTGGCCTTGAACTCACAACCATCTTCCTGCTTCAGCCTCCCTGGTGCTGGGATTACAGGCATGAGCCATCATGCCCGGCTTACATAGTGATTTCAAAGCCAGCCTGAATTACAGAGCAAGACCTTGTCTCAAAAAACAAAAAAATGGACAGGACTCCAAGGCTCCTCTCCAGGAAGCATCCTGGAAGAAGGGAATATGCAGAAGCTCCAAAAGGAAGAAAGAGGAGCCAAAGACTTAGCTCAGAGGCATAAATGTCTGCCTGGCAAGCATGGGGTCATGAGTTTGGTCCCCAGCACCAAAAAAAATAAAGCTCCTGTGGTACTCGAAAGGAAGAGAGGGGCAACCCACGTTAGAGGCCCCCTTCTGTCTTTTAGCATCTACCTTTCAATAAATTCTTCTTATTCTTTAAAAAAGAAAAGAAAAAAGCAACCTGGAACAGGGCTGACTTCAGGGCCTCTGGTAGACCATGGAGCCCTCCACAGGGCCTCTGGGGACAGCAGGTCACACTCCTTTACTTTGGTCTTCCCCAGTCTTGCACTTAACTCTGAATTGCTCTCAACCATTCCCTTTTGAAGGTCCCTCAAAAAGAGGACAGACTCATTCATTTATCCTGGAACATCTCCCCCTAGCCTGAATCCCTCTGTACCCCTGCTGAGCCCCAGGAAAATCCTCCCCCATGAAGCTGTCACACTTGGGGAACACAGGCTGAGTCCCCTTCCTGCTGGAATTTTAAACCCCCCTCCCCCTGGCTGCCACCAGCCTTGTCCCCTGTGGGAAAGTGCTGAGCAAGGAGGACAGAAAAGACTTCTTAGCAAGGACCCTGGATGGGAAAACCTGTGCAAGCAGGATGCGAGGACCACGACAGCCCGGGTGGTAGGGCCTGGACTTTGCCTGTCTGCTCAAGGCCCACTGTTCATTTATGTCCATCACTTCTTTGTGCCGGCACCTCAGAAATCACAAGGGCTGTGGCGATGGACATGACAACAGTCCCCTTGCTGCTTACAGCCTGGGGAGGTGACCTTCACCAGAGACTCAGTGATGAAGGGGAAGCAACAGAGGCACCTTCTATGACAGTCCCTGACGTGGCTCCCACAGACCCTGGACATGCAGGCCCTGATGACCGTGAGGACACATTAGGCCAAGTCCCACAGCCCTAGTAGGCCCTGTCTTGGCTTTTCCAGTCCTCAACCTCTCCATAAAACTGTCTCCTCCAGAGTGTCCCCCACAAAGACCTTAGGGAGCCTGCTTGTCCACAAATCCTGGATCTCAGATTAAGGGTTTTTTGAGATTAAGGTTTTTTTGTTTCTGTTTTCGGTACTATAGATTGAATCCCCTGGCCCTTCACACTAAACCACACTCCCAGCCCTTTTTTATTTTGAGATGGCTTAACTGTTGAATTGCCCAAATTGGCCTCAAACTTGCAGTCCTCCTACCTCAACCTCCCAGAGTGCTGGGATTACAAGTGTGTGCCACTGTGCCCAGCAAAGGGTTTCCCTAGCTGTCCTCACTTGGTGTAGACTGCTCTGCCTTCCGGGCACGTCTTAGATCTCTACCAGCGCCGCAGCTCCCAGAGGCCTCAGCCCCCAAGCCCTCAAAGACCGGAAGTTCCCCCAGCCCCAACCCCGCCCCTAGTCATTTCTCTTTGCTCCTATTGGTCACCTCAGCTCAGGGAATGATAAGGCTGTATCGCTCTGGCTCAGGGTGCTACTCAGCAAAGGGGGTGGAACCCAGATCAGGGGTCAAGGTCAGTGGACTGGGTGGGGAAGGGGGTGCTTCAGGGTTGCGGAGCCTGCTGTGTGATTGCCCTGAACAGCATGGAGACTTCCTCCAGCCTCCTCCACAGCGGTCTCCAAGTGTTTGCGGTCCTGCAATGGGTCTTCTCCTTCCTGGGACTTGGTGAGTCCACAGAGCTCCAGGACCCAGGCAAATCTGGTGACTGTGCTCTGCTCCCCCAGTACCCCAAAGGTGGCAGCACAGGGACCTTTGGGCGAGCAGGCGCACCAAAGGGCCTCAATGCTCAGAACCAGGGAAGGGCCCCAGGAGCCTGGCTTCCACATATGGGTTCTAAGTGCCTCCCCATCCCCAGCCCAGGTGTGCCTGATGGCCTTGCTCCTCGTTGTCCTGGGCCAGGCCTGGATCCTAGTGGTCCTCTACCTGGCCTGGCTCTACACAGACAGAGACACCCCCAGGTCTGGAGGCCGCCGCTCAGCCTGGTTCCGCAACTGGGCTGTTTGGAGACATTTCCGAGACTACTTTCCTATCACGGTGACAGTCCTGGGAATCGCGTTCTGGGGACAGCGGGAAGGGGCTTCAAAATAGACTCCTGAAGGCATCATCGCCCAAAGCTCAGTCTCACCGGTAATCGGGTGCCCATCTGCCCCCCAGCTGGTTAAAACTGCAGAGCTGGATCCCTCCCGGAACTACCTCTTCGGCTTCCACCCTCACGGAGTCTTGGCGGTGGGGGCTTTTGCCAACTTCTGCACTGAGGCCACCGGCTTCTCCAGCCTCTTCCCAGGCCTGCGCCCACACCTGCTCATGTTGCCCTGTTGGTTCCAAATCCCTTTCTTCAGGGACTACATCATGACCTGTGGTGAGGAGGGGTTGAGTCCAGCTTCAAGACCCCCAAACCTGGCTGTCACCTCCGACTCCTCTAGGGGGCTTCTGGAGTCCTCCTCATTCTGCTGTGCAAGCCCAAGGTGTCCAGCCCATCCCGTGCTCTGCCTCCCCCCAGGCTTGGTCTCCTCGGACAAGGCCAGTGCTGCCCATCTGTTGTCGCGTCCTGGGGGTGGCCAGGTGGCCGTCCTGGCTGTGGGAGGACCCCTGGAGGCTCTAGAGGCAAAGCCCGGCGCACTGAGCCTGCGGATCCGGAATCAGAAGGGATTCATTAAGTTAGCGCTGGAACACGGGTGAGAAGGGTGGGAGAGGGTCTGGGATGTGGGGTCCGGAGGTCCCCGGGGCTCCCCTGCCCGGAGAGGAGAGAGCCAGAGTCAGCTGTGGCCTGTGTCCCCAGGGCCTCCCTGGTGCCTGTCTTCTCCTTCGGGGAGAACGACCTCTTCCAGCAGTTCCCGAATCCGCCCGGTTCGTGGGTGCGGAGGGCGCAGGAGGCTCTGCAGCCACTCCTGCGCGTGGCGCTGCCGCTGTTCTACGGCCGCGGGGGTCTCCTGCTGCCCTTCCGGGCACCGGTCCGTACAGTAGGTGAGCCGGATCCCCTGCTCCCCGCGCGCCTGACGTCCGGCCCGGGCCCTGAACCCTGTCGGGGGGTATCCCAGGGCCCACAGGCTGGTGGGCGGAGCTGGGACGTCCCATCGCCCTGTCCCTCCCGCAGTGGGCGCGGCGATTCCGGTGCAGCGATGCCCGCGACCCAGCCGCGCGCAGGTGGACGAGCTGCACGCGGTGTACGTGGAGCGCCTCACGCAGCTCTTCGAGGAGCACAAGGCGTGCTACGGGGTCCCTGCCGACCAACACCTCGTGCTCATCTAGGCGCGCCGCCCCCTCCCGGCCCCGCCTCGTGCCCTAGGCCACTGCCGGGAGGGAGTGGAATTAAAGGTGGGAACGGACCATTGCGCTCCAGTGTTTGTGTGTGGGACGGGAGGTCGCGGCGCGGCTCAAAGCCAGGGAGCCGCTCCTGGGTGGCGTGGACAGTCCTGGAAGCTTGAAAACAGACCAGGGTCCCCCTGCTGTCCTGCGCTGGAAATCAAAGTCTCACTGGCTCCGGAGGCTAGGACACAGTGGGTGGACTGGCCTGCGTCTTCTTGGCCTTCAGTTCTTAGGGACCTGACCTGTGCCCCTGTGTACACCTTCTTCCCCCTCGCCCGGCCCCTCCCAACCGCGCCCAAGGAGACAGACCCCAGGGAGTTGTTAGATCAGGCCCAGAAGGTCCAACAATCTTCCCACCCCCACACACTGACACTCGGGGAGGTGACCTGTGACCTGCCAGAATCTCTATCCACTCCAAGTCTTGGAGCCCCGCTGGAGATGGCGGCTCCTGGGATGGGCAGATCACAGCCGCTGCTGCCCATGAGAAGCCTTTGGAAGCAGCAGCTGGAAGCCTTGGGCGCTGACCACTATGTGCTCACTGTCCCCTTCCTGGGTGAGAGGACTCGGGGGCCTGACTGGGCTGCTGGTTGGGGAAGGGGACTAGAGAGGCTATGGCGGGGGCTGGACCAAATGACTGAGGTGCAGACTCTAATTCACTTTCTTTCCGGCCTTCTCTCCAGCCCAGTTCCTCACCTTGTCTTCCTCCTCTTCATGCTGCTCTGGTACTTCTGTGGCTCAGTGTGGCTGTCCCTAGACTGGGCCAGGCCTAAATATGGTGAGCTCTGGACAGGGGGCCCCCATGGTGAGAGATGGTGGCCAAGGGCTTACAGGGACCCTGCTATCCCCTCTTTCTGCCCATAGGTGAAAGGCTCAGCATGTGGTGAGGACGTGGACAATTTGGAAACACCAAAGAGATTATTGTCCTATCAAGGTGATGGGTCCCCTCAAGGGAGACAGCCTTCTCCTCCCACCCTGCACAGCCCACTCCTGCTCACCCTTCACTTCCTGGAGCCCCTGCCCTGCTGCCCCAGCTCTGGCAGGGGATGGGGGAGGAGAGGAGTTGAGTATGAGAGTGGTCTCTGTACCTTTGAGCCCTTCTAGAGCCCTGGACTCTGACTTCTTTCCAACTGGCGTCTGGCTTTCTCTGCTTCCCTCTTCTCATCCTTCCTGACCCCACGAAGCCAGTGAACACAGGACAGCTCCCCCCGCCATGAGAATAGGTACCCACATGGGCTTCCGGGCACTGGGCTCTTCTGTGACAGCTCCATGGGCGTCAGTGGCTTCTCCCAGCACTTCCCTGGGCTTCGATCTTCTCAACACTTCTGTCTTCCGGCCTTTGGAGAAAGTATCACGTTCCACAGTGAGCCTCGAGCTGAGTGAGTGCTCCCCATTCCCCCCCCCCCAAGAACCTGACCGTCGACGCTGGCCAGGCTGGCAGTGGGCACCAGTGAGGGGGTGTGGAAGAAACAGGATGTGGTTGCACCCTTCCTGTGCTAATGGTGGGGTGAGGAGCTGGGAATCTGTGGAGGGGATAGTGACTGCTTCCCATCCTCTTGTGTTCATGGTTTACATCCTGTGAGCCACCAGAGCCTGGACTGCATCCTGTCCCAGCCCCAGCTCAGGCGTGTTGTCATCAGGATGTCCAGGAAGCCCTGTACACAGTCCCAGGGGAGAATCCCTGGGAACACAGTGGCTTCGTGTGCTGGGCGCTGAGGCTTGGGTGAGTGGATATGCATGTCCTAGTGGCCAGAACGAGGAAGCAGAGGATCTCTGTGGGACTACAGGTTTTCTCAGTCTCTGGCATCTGGGTCCCTGCAGGTGAGACTCACGTCTCACAGCTGGAGTCCCCTGGCAGCCCTTTAATACCTCAGTCCATGTCCAGGCCATGCTGCTTCCAGGGGATCCCTCCCACTGTGAGCAAGACCAGGTCACTGGGCAAATAGCAGAGCCCTGGGGCTCAGTAGCCCTGACCCTCTCTCAAAAGTAAGACTTCTAGCTTGTTTACCTGTGAACCCAGCTACTACCTGCCTTGACACAGATGTTATAGGCATGAAGACTGAATGCAGAAATGAATATTTTGAAGGCCCCAGGCACAACTGTTTGTCAAGAAAAGTGACTCCTTTCTTCTAGCTCTTTCTTTGTAGACATACTTACATACTTCAAAACACTCAGAGATGCAGTATCTCAAGGAATGGGGAGGGACTCCCAGATGCAAGGGGACTCCAAGGGACTCCAAGATGCCTGTCCTGGACAGTAAAGGAGACCAACTCTGTATTAGTCAGCTTCCCATCACTATAATAAATACCTGATGCAGTCAGTTTATAAAGTGAAAATGCTAGCCAGGCATGATGGCACATGCCTGTAATCCCAGCACTCTGGGAGGCTGAGGCAGGAGGGTCTCAAATTCAACCCATGCCTGGGAAATATATCAAGAATCTGTCTCAAAATTTTAAAAAGGCAGGGGATATACCTCAATGTGAAGGCTCTGGGTACAATCCTGAGTGCCAGAGAGGATTAGAGATGGACAGAGAGAGAGAGAGAGTTAGTTACTTTGACATAATTGTAGAGGTTTAAGTCTGTAATACACTGGCCCTGGGAATGTGGGTCAGAGGTGAGGCAACACATCACAGCAGACATGTGGTAAAACTAAACCACTTGACTCATGGCCAGGATACCAAGAGGAGGAAACTGTGCCCTCCAGGCCACAGCCTCGTGACCTAATTTCTCCCTAAGCCTGGCTCCTAAAGGCTCCATGGCCCCCTCCCCTAGGGTGCCACGCAGGCACACAGCCCTCAGTGCACGAGCCTTTGGGAGACACTGCTGGAAACCGAGGCAGCCCCTCTCCTTTCGCCGCCCTGTGGGGCCCCCCGATGCCCTGTACTCGGGAGAGAAGGACATCTTCACTCCGAAGGCACCAGGTCACCTTTGGGAGACTTGTGACCTGCTCTCTGCGCCTCTTCTCAGCCACTCCTGGGATCTGCTGCTTTGTGCCTGTCACTACTTACAAGCACCCCCTCCCCACAAGGCTCGCCCCAACCCTGTGCCCCAGAGTGCAGACCCACCAGGGGCAAGTGGGCCCTGATCACAGGCTTTATGGGAAGGCTCTGCAGCAGCTGTTCTCAGACCACAGGAAGGCTGTGGTGCCCTGAACCTGACACAGACATCTGCCTCCTGCCGCACTCCATCCATCAATAAATGCGCGTCCCTGTACGCTTGCCCCATCCTGCTGTGCAACAGAGTTGCCACCCTACCCTGGACCCCAGCACCCTGCACCCTCCTCCCATGGAGACGCCCTGTGTTGGCTGTGTGGCCCAGGATAAGCTCTTCTTCTTCTTCTTTTTTGTCTTTTTCTTTTTTATCGGTACCAGGGATCGAACTCAGGACCACAACTTGCAAGGCAGGCGCTTATGCTGCTGAGCTAAACCCCCAGCCCCTTTTTGTATTGTTTTGAGACAGGGTCTCACTATGCAGTTCAGACTGGCCTTAAGCTTCAAGGCCCAGGCTGGTCTCGAACTCGCAATGATCCTCGAACCTCAGCCTCCCAAGTGCTGGGATTACAGGAGTGAGCCACCACACCTGGCCAGATAAGCTCTTCTTTTCACTAAGCCCCTTCTGCCTCTGTGAAGAAGGGGATGAAAAGGAAGGTAGTGTGGAGGGGCAGCTTTGAAAGACAAGCAGGATTTTGGGAAGTGAAAAAGTCTGGGTGGACGGTGGAACATTGTGAGCCAAAGCTGAGCTTGGCTGAGGATCCCCAGAGTGATGGAGGGATGGAATGGTCCTCAGAGCTGGAAAAGACAGAGTTAGGTACACAGCTTGTCTCTGTGCTTTACCAGATCTCTTGGGGTTTGTGTGTAGGCAGAATTGGCATACATAAGGGATCCAGAAAAAAATTTTTTTGCAGTTAAGGAATTGAAACCAGGGCCTTTGCACTGAGCTATAGCCTTACTTTTAATAAATTTTTAAAAGTGAGGACAGGTTCTTGCTAAATAGTAAGTTTCCCAGGAAGGGCTTGAACATGTGAACTTTCTGCCTCAGTCTCTCAGAATGCTCTTGAAATGCATGCACCACAAGAAAATTCCTAATTTGACCTCAGTGATGAGAAAGCTTGTGTTCTCTGGGCTTTTGGAGCTCTTAAGTCAAAATCTTTTTCTTGTGCATGTATTTATTTATTTACAGTGCTGGGGATTAGACTCAAGGCCTGATCCTTGGGAGGCAGCTACTCTACCCTGAGGCACATCCTCGGACCTGTGTACCTCAGAGGTGCCCCTTTCAGGTCCCTCTGGCATCTTCATTGCTTCGTCTGCCTCTTCATCTGCCCCTAGTGTTCTGTCCATACACTTAAGGTAGGCTTTCCCATGAGAATCCCATTTTTCTTCTAAACTGGGAGTAAAAGAAACCCAGCTGTAGGCCCAAGCATCCTTGGATTCCGCAGAATCAGGCTGATTGGACGTAGCTGCCTGGCCAATCTATCTTCCTGCCTCGGAGCAGCCAGGCAGCCCAGACCCTGCTCCTGTGCTTAAAGCATGAGGAATGACAGAAAAGTATCGTGAACGTTTAAACTTTTAGAAATTATTTACAGTAAAGACACATTGCCATGAGTCCCGCTCAGATCCTCACTCCAAACACACGGGGCTGGGGATTTAGCTCAGCGGCATAAGCGCCTGCCTTGCAAGCAGGCAGTTGTGAGTTCAATCCCTGGTACCAATAAAAATGAAAAAGACAAAAAAAAACAAAAAAACAAAAAAACAAAAAACCACAGTAATCCCATCCTTGTTGCCTCCTTCAGAAGCAGTTCTGAGGTCTTCTTTCTTGAGAGTCTCTAGTTGTGTGCTCATGGCTGCCTTGATGTCCTGCATTGGTTTAAAATGTGTTCCTTTAGGTGTTATTTTGACTTTGGGGAAGAGCCAGAAGTCACGAAGAGATCAAATCTGATGAACGGGTGGATGAGGTCACACAGTCATGTTTTTGTGAGCTGCCATCCCATTGGATGGCACTCAGCAGCAGCAGACACTGTATTTTTATCCCACCTTGTGAAAGCACTTATGAAAGAGGACTTCCAGGCCAAGCATGATGGTGCACTTCTATAATCTCAGCCTTTGAGAGGCTAAGGCAGGAGGATCAGCTGGAGTTTGAAGCCAACCTGGGCCCATAGCCTGAACTACATAGTGAGACCCTGTCTCCAAAACAAAAAGAGAATTTCCCATGGGCATTCAAATCAAAGGGGAGGGCTTGGAGAGAGACAGATTCATGGTAAGTTGTGTTTTGCTGTAATAGTCTTTAACATTTAAACATGTACTGCATGTCTCAGTGACACCTTGTCTGACTGTGGGTAGGCTCACAGTTCTCTCTTCTTCATCTCCAAATGCTGATCCTTGTCATTTCTCAGCCATTTGTTTTACTATGTCCCATGGGTCTGAACTGGCCTTTCCTAGAATTCAGAGCCTGTTTATTATTGAGCATCTCTAACCTGAAAATTCAATGTCAAAATTCTCCAAAGTTTGAAACATTTCAAGTGCTGATACACTGCCTGGAAAGTGCAAGGTCCTGAGTTTGATTCCTGGTACCAAAAAAAAAAAAAAAAAAAAAAAAAAAATCAAGTGCTGTTGTGACAGCACAAATTAAAAAGTTCTCACTTTACCTCATCCGAGGGTCTTAGTCAAAATGCAGATGCCCTAAAAATACTGTCCTGGGAGGCTGAGGCAAGAGGATCAAGATTTGAAACAGCCTGAGAAGCTTAGTAACTTATAGAAGCACTGCCCCAAAATGAAGAAGTATATATATAAAATATATATGTAAACACAAAGATATAACTCAGTGCATAGGACCTGGGTTCAGCTCCCAGTAACACACACACACACACACACACAACCTTAAGCCTATGTGTATTAAGGCTTGCATGGCAGGATCTCAGCTTGCTGTAAGCTGCAGTGTGGACATCAGGCCCTTCCCTGTGATCTTCCCGTAAGAGGCAGAGGCACCAAGGTCAAGTGGCCACAAAGGACTGGGGACTGTGGGCATCAGGTGTGCACACGCTTCCTCCAGCTGCTGTCCTACCTCCTCTCCCGGTGAATGGCAGTGAATGGCCAGTGCTTTTCTCTAGGGCAGCAGGGGTTGGGATAGGTGACAAATGGGGTCTTTGAGCAAGACTGGGAAGAGAGTGGCAGAGATTTGTTTCCCATCAATCTCTGTCTGAAATCTGAGACCAAGAATTCATGGTGTTGGTTGTGGGGAGGCACTGGCCAGGGTTGGGGTACAAAAAGCCACATGGTCCAGCTCAGTCAGAGAAGCTGGGATGGGCTAGTTGAGGAATCAGAGTCCACTCTGCAGAGAGAGGTGTGCTAATCATGGGAAGCTGCTCCCAGTACCCATAAAACCAGTTGGGTGAGTCATCAGAAAGGGGCCTTGTCTGATCCAAGAGGAGAGAGGGAAAACCAGAGGGCAGGTCTATATCCACATGGAAACTGGTGGGGGATAGGGTGGGGGAAGTCAGTGCAGGAATGGAAAGGTGCTGGCAGAACAGATTCAAAGAGGAAGGGGCGAGAGACCAGATACAGTACTCACAGTCACACCTCCATGGCCCCCAGACACCCAGAAGTGTGCCTTACCCATCTGCTAGGCATTTCTTAAAGAAGTTGCCTGATCAGGATTATCCATGACACTCATCCATCAGGATCCCCCCCAGAGTACACTTCAGCAAGACGGGTGCCATGTCCCTGTGCAGTAAACCAGCTGGGCATCTTTCTTGTCTACTGGGACGGGTTGCGTATGGCCTCTTCCCGCATCATAACCTGCTGCCTGTGTGACCCTATCTAAAACGCCAGCCTAGATGGAGGAAACTAGTTTCAGAAACTCTGACACCTCTCTGCACATTCCTAAGCATACTCTGCTTCCAGAATCTGATCCTCAGCTGGCCATCGTCTGGCCATCCATTTGCTACTGACCTCCGCTCTTCTAATCCTCCTCATCAGCATCTGCGTTGGGTGAGATTTAACCTGTCCCAGTGGGTTGCAACCTCCTAGGCCTAACTTGTTACCTAGAAATGTGCCCCATGGCTGGCCTGGGGCTAGGACAGTTGCAGTTTATTGGCAAAAGAAATAGGACAATGAGATGGAGGGGAAGATAATCACCTTATACAGAGAAAAGGTAGATTTTGACTCACAAGATTTCAGACCATAATTAGGTGGTCCTGCAGTTTTGGGCCTGTGGCAAGACAGCCCATTACAGTAGGAACATGTGGCCACAGAACTGCTCTGCTCGTGGCCAGGAAGCTAAAGAAGGAAAAGAGGAAGGGGCTGAGTCCTGCCGTCCCCCTCAAGAGCGCATCCCCGATGACCTAAGGACTCCCCATGGGTTCCACCTCTCAAAGTGTCCACCACACAGAAATACTAGCTCCAAGTGCTTAGAATTTGGGCAAATTGCATTTGCTGCAAGTTAACTCAAGAATGCTGTGCGTTGTGGCAGGTGTGGTGGCACATGCCTGTAATCCCACAGTGGAGAGGCCTAGGCAGGAAGATTGTCATGAGTTTAAGGATAGTCTACGCTACTAGTAAGTTCAAGATCAGCCTGAGCTATACAGTGGAACTTTTCCTAAAAAAAAAAAAAAAAAAAAAAAGAAAGAAAGAAACAATGCTGTGTGAATAATGGCAAACATTCCGTCAGATCTTCTTGGCAGAAGTGCATGTCCAGGGTACAGAGAGAAGGTGGGTTGCTAGAGCCTCATAGGGCACTGAGTTTCTTCCCTTTTTTCTCTTCTCTTCTGGAGGTCTGGGTCCTAGAGTGCTGGGCTGCTAAGGACCTTCCCTGTACCTTCTCTCCTCCCACATAGCTGGAAGCCAAGGCCGAGCTTTCTCCTTGCAATCTGGAGAGTACTGAGGCACAATGTATGATAGAAACATATGAATGTTTAAAATTGTTTAAATGTATGACAGAAGCTGGGCATAGTGGCACATGCCTATATCCCGGCACTCAGGAGGCTGGGCAGGAAGGTCACTGTGATTTCAAGGCCAGCCTGCACTACACAGGGCGAACCTGTCTCAAAAAAAAAAATAAATAAATAAAAATAAATAAATAAATAAAAGGTATTATTGTTAAAGACACATTAAGCCCCCTCAAAATACTGCCCCTCGAAAAGTGGCAGCACACATCTGTAACCCCAGCACTTGGGAGGCAGAAGTATCAAGACCGCTGTGAATTCAAGGCCAGCTTCAGCTACAAAGTGAGT